GCTCCCGCGGACCTATCGCCCCGCCCACCGCTCCCGCGGAACTATCGCCCCGCCCACCGCTCCCGCGGACCTATCGCCCCGCCCACCCGCTCCCGCGGACCTATCTCCAGGGAGTAGAGGGTGGTCTTGCACATGGTCTCGTTGGCATTGCAGGTAGCGACGGCAACACAGCTGGACACACTAGTAGGCTCATGACAGGTGTAGCATCGCAGGGCCTCCGCTGGGTAAGAAGGGACAAAGGACACATCAGGCTTGCCCTGCCCCTCCCCGAGCCCCCGTCCCAGAGACCCAGGTTTGAGGGGGCCGCGCCGTCCAGGCTGCTGGTGCCCAGCGGCCCAGACCCTGGGAGGTCTCAGGAGGTTTGATCTGTGGTCCTTGGAGACAGAGCGTGCCCCTGATAGGCTCAGCCTGCAGGGCCAAGGTGGGGAGGGGACAGCTCTGGAAGCATCGAGGAGGGGCCTGCAGGGAGCCAGGCGTCCCTGCAGGGTCAGGGAGGGCCTCAGTGTGGCTGGACACCCCCTCAGGATTCCTGGCCAGCAAAGTGCAGCACCCAACGAGCGACAGTGAGCACCGGGAACAGACAAGGAGGTGTGTGGGGTGCAGGGTGGTCCGGGCTGGGCCTGGGGCACCCACAGGTGCCAGATTAACAAAGGAGGGAAGAGCCACAGCTCGGGGACCCGGGGCAGGTCGGGGTGCGGGCCGGCAGGGGCGGGGCCCCAGGGTGTGCTGCTTTGCGCCCCACCCACTGCAGGAGCCTGGCTGGCCTGACCAGGGCCAGCTGGTACGGCACAGCCAAGGCCACAGGCTCTACCCCCACTGCGTGTCACTGTGCCTCTGGTTGATCTGTTTCCCCTCTGGCTGGGGCCCCCACTGCCCAGCTCCTTTTCTGGCAGAGTGTGTGTGCCCCGAGGGGCTGGGGCATCTCCTCCAGGTGTTCTCTCAGACCCCTGTGTCAGCCCCAGTTCCCAGAGCCTTCCTGGTCTCCCCAAGACGCCCCTGAGCCCTGCCTCCACATGGACCCAGAATTGGGGAACATGGTTCTGCCCACAACCTCTCCAGCTACAGCCTTTCCAGGGTGCCCATGGCCCCCAGTGACATGCAGCTCCCCAGCTGGCTCCCAGAGCCTCTGCAGCTGCCCCAGCCCTGGGGGGCGGCCTTTGGGGCTATGCCCTCCTCCCCCTCAGACACCTGCGCCCTTCCCTGCGGCTCACCCTTGCTCCCCACCCCGCCTCTCCTGGGTCTCCCCGCCTTCCTCTGCTCCCTGGTCCCCCTGCCCCGCTCCCCTCACCGAGCTTGTGGCCGCAGGTCGCCAGCACCAGCATCAGTAGCACCAGCCGTGTCCCCCTCATGATCTAGTCCTCACCCTGCTCTGCAGCACGCTCGCCTTCAGCCTGCCCGCAGGGACAGTGGACACCCAGTGCAGCCACCCGACCGGTCAGCCAAGCAGATTAGTGGGATTGGGTTTCTTGTGGGCGGCAGAGGTGCAGAGACCCGCCCCCCTCCACCCACTGGGGCCCCTCCCGCCTGCACTGGAAGCCCCATTCCTCTGTGGGGACTCCTCCTGCCCTCCCTGTCCTCTTCCCCTTTCCTCTACCCCCTCACAGCCTGGGGTCCCTTCCTGGTCCTGATGGCCCCTCTCTGTGATTTGGGGCCCCCACCTCCCTCTATGACTCCCTTCCCCGGGCTCTCCACCTTCTCCTTCCTCCTCCACCCCTACCCCCACCCTGGTTTCTGCCTCTGCCAAGCACCCTTCCCACTGGGGTCCCCAGGCCTGCCTCCAGGGCAGAGTCTGGGTCTAGTAATTCTGGGTTTGAGTGCTCCAAGGGGGCCTGCAGCCCCCCACCCCCACCCCAGCTCCTTTGAGGGAATCTCGCGGGGCACGGAGATACGGGGATAGACCGCCGCTGGGACAACCAGCCGAAGTGTATTGACAGGCTTATGGGCACAAAGACAGGAAGAGAGCTGGGTCAACAGAAAGGTCCTGGGTGGAGGGCGGAGCTGGGGAGGGGCCGGGTCACTTTGGGGACACTAGCCCCAGTGCCCACTGGAGAGGCAGGTACACCTTGGTCTCTAAAGAAACCACAGAGGCTGCCCCTTGGGCAGGGCTCTCCTGGACCGTTGTAGGTCAGGCCGTCGACAGCAAGGCCCTTGCCCAAGGCCCAGACAGCACCGAAGTGTGGCTCCGGCCGCTGCTGCCCCCCAACACACAGGCGCACACACATCCCCCCAGAGTGCCTGCACTTCAGCCGCCCTAGGATGCCCTCTACCCGTGACCCAGTCACACCCTCTAGCAAGCCCACAGCTGTCAGGGTGAACCCCGGGGTAGGGTGGGGAGGGTTGTTGGCAGGTCCCAGGGCCTCTTGCTGGGAAGTCAAGGCCATGGCGCCCGGACTCACTTGGGGCCACGCTGCAACCCCACCCAACTCCTCTGTCTTCTCCCAGAGGGTCCAAATCTTACTCCCCTCCAAGACTTTGCTCCTGCTTTTCCTGTCACCAGGGATGCCCGTTCCTCGCCCACCCTCCTGTGGTTGACATTCTGTCTGGGGACTCCCCCCACCCCCACCCCACAGCGTTTATGCGGTCCTTGGCTTTCCTTTGAGATCAGCTCCATGTGGGAGCTGACGGGTCCTGTGCCCCTCTAGACACTGGGTGGGGCCTGCGGGCTGGGTGCGTGGCTTCCCGGAGCACCCAGCCTGGGGGAGCCACCTCCCCTGCTGGATCGTGCTTTCCTCACCACAGCTCTGGAGACACGACACTAGCACACAACACTAACAACTGACTCTGCTTCGGGCATAGGATCGGACGCTCCTGGCAGCTGCGGACTTGGGCAGGTCACCTTGCGCGGGCTGGGGAAGCGCAAGCAGCAGCCGGGCTTGTCTGATTTCACACTTGAGCAAGTCGCCACGGCCGCCGTCGGCGCTGACGCGGATGCCGTTAACCGGATTAGACACCCACCACACACACCCTAGCTTCCTCCTTCGATCCAGCCCAATTCCTTTGCCGCAGCCAGGACCAAGCCCAGCTCCTTGTGCTCAGACCCAAGGGCCCCACCTGTACTTTCCATCCAGAGCGCACCCCTTGCCCCTGGGCGTTCACCCCTCCTACAGTTTCCGCCTGATCCCTGGGCAGCCAGGCTGAAACTTAACTGCAAATTTGCACCTGTCTACTCAGTCCGGGAGGGATGTGGCTCAGTCAGAGTTTGGGTGGGCTCTGTCTAGGATGCCTCCATGCTGACAGGTCTCCAACCATCCCCCAGTCCTACTAGGAGCCTCGAGGGCAGGGCTCAAGAGTGTGACCAGGGTCCAGACTCAGAGTGTGACAAAATCAGGGCCCATCATGTGACCAGGGTCAGGGTTCAGAGTGTGACCAGGGTCAGGGCTCTCTGCTGCTACTCCGTCTCCGGACTGGGCTTCCTCCCCAGCCGTCTGTGGGTGGCCTCCTCTGGGCAGTGTCTGCAGGCCCCCAGGAAGGCTGTGGGGTGTCTGGCTCCTGCTCACCCGTTCCCCTGTGCGGGGCGTCCAGCAGAGTAGCCTGATGGCTCCATGTTTCTACACAGTGAAGAAAATGCGGGGAGTGACATTATCCCCGAGGCAGCTCTTTCGGCTGTACCCTTCCTGAAGGACCCCGATGTGGACGTGCCCTAATATATGGTCACCTGTGTGCCGGCAGGCGTGAGGCTGCTCCCATCTGTGCTGGGACACCTGGGAACCCTCGCTGCCCAGCCCCCCAACACCGTGCACTCCTTGTCACATGATAGCGCTTCTGGTCCCCACCGACCACGGCCTGACCCTCCCAGGGTGTTTGCAGGAACCGTGCAAAAGACCCATCCGCTCTTGATGGGTCTCAGGCCTCAAGACTCAGCACCCCTGCCTCGGGACCTAAGTTGCTTCACCGGGTGCTCACCCAGGCTTCACCAGGCCCTCACACTGGGATCCCTGCCTTTCACCAGATTCTCAAGCCTGGAGCGGGGGGTTGCAGGCCGTGTGGGTGTGCACTCCCTGCTGCAGGTGTCTGGTGACGTTTCGGGGGGGCGGCCAACACTGAACAGTTCCGGGGGCAGGCAGCAGACCTGCCGGCCAGGGACCGCTGCGCCCCACCCCGGGGCACAGAAGGGTGGCTTCCCGCCCGCCCTGACCCCCTCTTCTCCGTGTGCTCGCTCCTAGATGTAAAGGCTCCTTTTTGGCTCTGCGTGTGGCTGACGTTCTCCTCGGGGAAATCTGCTGGTGGGACGGGGCAGCACTCTTCACTGCGCCCAGGGGTGGTGCGGCCGTGGGGGCTGCCTGTGCTGTTGCCTGCGCTCTGGTTTTGCCCAGCGCAATCTTTCCTGTGTTTGTGTGGTCACGAACCTTTCTTAGTCTGGATGTGCGGTCCTGTTTTTCTTGCAAACACATTTTCTTTTTTTCTCTTTGAAATTTGTATCAGCTTTATTGGACACGGGTCACCTTCCGTACAGTTCACCCACGGAGAGCTGGTGTACTCAGGTCCTGAAACCCTCCCCAGTCAGGCTCAGGAAGGAGCCCTCCCCGCGCCCCCGCGCCCCCGCGGGCTGCCAGCCCCGCACCAGCGCGCTCCCAGCCTGCCCTGGCTGCCCGCCCCCTGGATTGGCCTGTGCTGGGCGCTTCGCAGAAACGAGAGTGGAGCGCAGTTTGCGGTTCTCCGCGTGTGGCCTCTCGCTCTCCGCGTCTCAGGTCTCAGCTTCGTGCCGCCGCCCTTAGCAGCGCGGGGCGCGGTCTGGACAGACCGGGGTGTCTATCCACGCTGTCGCTGTTACGAGGGAGGCTGGTGTGAGCGGTCACCGAGAGGCTTCCATGTGAACCTGGGTTCGTCCGGCGCAGGTATGTGCCCGCGGATGGGATTGCTGGGTGTCTCGATTTTCTACGCCAAACACTTTAACAATCTCTCTCTCTCTTTCTCTTTTTAACACTTAAATCTGTGATTCAGTTGGAATGCCTTTCGAGTGAGTGGGAGTGAAGGCCTAGAGCCGGTTTGGTTTGGTTTTCTTCCCGGGGTGGTCAGCTACCCACCGCCTGTGCCGTGTCGCCCCCCGCCCCTGCACCTGCCGCATGCCACATTAGCGCCTGCGCAGTCCTGCCCTTCCCGCGTGCGGTCCTCACCCCGCTAGCCCGAATCCCTGCTTGTGCCTCTCTGTGGGGTCACTCTCTGCTGGGACACTACCCCCCACACTGGGTGGCTGCACCACCGCACTGGCTTTTCCACGTTTTCCTTCATGAGACCGTGGTCAGGGTAAGGACAAGGCAAGGGCTGGGCGCTGTGCTGGGGGTCATGTGGTGGGGAGGATCCATGGCCCCTGGTGGGGTAGGGTCTTGGTCCACTCCGCAGCTGGAGGCCGGCTGGAGCCCTGATTAAAAGTTTCTCAGCGTGTGGGGGCGGTGTATCGGGACGTGCGTGGGTGTGCGTGTGGGTGTGCGAAGGCGACTGCGCCTGTGCATGGGTGGGGGCCGAGCCGCCTCCAGCCTCCCCCTCTCACCTGTCTGCTCTGTTCCCTCCATCTTCCCCTTTCCAGTTCCCCCAAAGGTCCCTTTCTCTGCTGGGGGCCCTCCCTCTTCCTCTGGCCCGCCCAATGCCACCTCTAGTTCTTAGGACCTCCTGCTCTGCGCGCTGGGACGCTGGAGCACCTCCCCCCCAGCTGGTGCCCCCTCTCAGCTGCCTGAGCAGCATCAGCCTGGGGCTCCAGGTATCTCTTAACCCTGGGCCGGCTCCTGGGGGGGGGGGGCAGCCGAGGGTAGAGGGGCGGTCAGTCCCTGTTGCAGAGGCTGAACTGGCAGCAGACGATGGACACGTGGGGGCCAAGGCCAAGGGTAGAGATGTCCGGGCAGCCACTGTAGCACGATTTGGTCACCAGAGGTAGGTCAGCGACGCTGAAGGGGACTCCTGCGGTGGACAAAAGGTAAACAGTGCAAGCTCCCTGAGGCCCTGAGCTGCCTGTGCTCCCGCCCCACCTGCCACCAAGACAAGAGTCACCGCCCAAACTGGGTGTAACTGGCCTCCTCCCTTGAGTCCTCTCTTGCACTGAGGTCAGTGGGTGCCCCTCCCATCCTGTTCCAGCCTTGTTGGGAGCCTGGACTAGCTCTGCCCCCTCTGAGCTTGGGTCTCCTCTCCTGGGCAGAGAGGGCACAGCTGGGCCACCCCACACATCCCTTACTCACGGGTGGCGATGCTGACGCAGTAGTTGGAGCCCGATGGGCATCTGGACGCATGGGTGCACCCTCCAAAGCCCTTGCACTGGTGACAGTTCAAGCCTTGCGCTGCAGCCGCGAGCAGAGGAGGGACAGGCGGGTCAGCAGTGGGTGGAGGGACATGTGGATGGACGCACAGATCGAGAGGGACACAGGTGTGGTCAATGCCGGCCTGACAACACCCTCTCTTCCCACCCAGGACCCCCCTCTCATTCTCAGGACCCTAGTCTCTCATCCTGGCATGGGCAGTCCCTTAAGACCTTCCGGAATTAGGGGGTGGGGAGCCCACCCCGTCCCAAGCCTCAGCCCAGGGCTGGCCCTCTGCCCTTCCATCCTGCAGGACCTCTCTTCCCAGGGTGCAGGTGGCCAGGCCCGGGGCCACAGCGGGGTCGGCTGCAGCTGGAGGTGGCTCTGCTGGTCCCCCGGCCCAGGACAGCATTGGGCTGAGGGGCAGGATGGGGTCTTCGCGGACTCTCTGTGCCACCTCCCCACCCAGTGGATGGCGTGAGCAGCGGCTTCACGCAGAACGAGCTGGGGGTTGGAGATGGGGGGGAGGTGGTGAGGGCTCCCCACGATGTGGCCGTGCCCATTTCCACGTCAGCAGAACCCCTGAGACCCACAGGCTCCTTCGTTCTGGTGGCTGCGGTGGGGGGGGCCTCACTGGCCTCCGTGGGGAGTGGGAAGCCATGGGGACAGGAGCGCCGGGCGGCGAAAGGCACGGGCCAGCGCAGTTTTGTTCAATGTTTCTTCTCTGAGGACAACCTGGAGGCTTTTGAAATACTAAGTTCATTCCGTAAATGTCTGGCAGATCTGCCCATCAGCCCTGTCCTCGAATGGGGGCACAGCGGGGGGCTGTCTGTCCTTCGGCACCCCCTCCCCACCATGTTCCTTGCCTTGAATTTCCTCCCTCCTTCTCTGGTTCCTGTGCTCAGTGCTTCTGTCAGTGCAGACGCAGTGACAGACGCAGCAGTGCAGTCCCCAGTGCAGACGCAGCACACTCGCACGGGGCACACTCGCACGGGGCACGCTCGCTGCCAGCAGGCTCTGAGCTTCAGGGCACCACAGTTCGGGGCGGGCTCCTCCCGCCCCACCCATGCCCCAGTCCGTCCTTCAGGCCTCTGCTGGCTGCCCCAGCCCCGCCACCACCATTGCCCTGGATCTGCCCCAGATCAGCTCACTCTCCGACCCGGGCCAGTGGGCACCGTGAGGCGCTGCACTTTCACCAAACCCCAATGTGCACGGGCACACACATGCACACCTGGGCGAGGCGCACACACCTCCTGGCCAGCCCTGAGCCCTCTGCTCAGCCCCGGGGTTGTGGGCAGCCTCCTCCCAGAGCCCCAGAGCAGTGATGGAGACGCGAAGTCCCCGCCATGAGAGTGTGCCCAGTTGGCCCCGACTCATCGGCGAGCCCTGCAGAGCAATCTGAGACTGCCCGCGACCAGGAAAGGTGACAGCTCCTGTCACAAAGCTCATCACTGCTGCTTGAAGCCACCGGCACATCACGCCCGAGGATGGCGTGGTAAGCTGCGTGTGCCACCTAATGGACAGACAGGGGACTGTCACCTGGGAAACTGGGGTGTCTCTGCCCCAAGGGAGCCCCTTGAGAAATGCAGTTCCCGCCTCCCGCTCTCCTCTGCTGTCCTCTCTCATTCGCCCAGACGCCTCCCTGCTTCGCCCATGCTCTTCCCTCTGACTTCCAGGCAAGACAGGCCCCAGCTTAAATGCCACCTCCTCTAAGAAGGCCTTCTGGATTTCCAGGCAGAGTTGATGGCTCCTCCTTTGACATGCCCCCCACGAGCGGCTGGCACCTCTGCCCCAGCCTGGTGGCAGCATCCCTGCCCCCATGTGACCTTGCTCAGGGCTCCCTCCCCACCCCACCCCCTCTGACCTGAAGGACATGGGTGGGGTGTTTCACCCACTCTTCTGCGGCCCCAGAGCATCCCCCGTGTGTGTGTGTGTGTGTGTGTGTGTGTGTGTGTGTGTATATATATATACATCCCCACTGTACCTAGTGGAGGCCAGGAGAGCTTCGTGGAAGGAAGGGAGGAAGGGGGGAAGGAGGGAGGGAGGGAGGGAAGAAGGAAGGGAGGGGTGGAAGGAGGGGGGAGGGAGGAAGGAAAGAGGAAGGAAGGGAGGAAGGAAGGGAGGAAGGGAGGGAGGGAAGGAGGAGGGGGAAGGGGAAAGAAGAGCCGTCTGGCGGCAGGGCTGTGGGAGCAGCTGGCCAGGCTCGTGCCCTGTCCTGGCTCACTGTGCAGCAGATGGGACCCCTCCCACTCTGCACCCCCTGTGTTCCCTCTGACAGGGCAGGCGTGGGGACTAGGCAGGAGCAGGGAGAGGACACCAGCAATGCTGTGGCATGTGCTGCTCCCCTGATCCGCTGGACCGCAGCGGAGCCAGAGGAGGGAGGAGGGGCCTGTGACTTAGCGCTGGAGGTGACAAAGGCTTTCCCCACCCTGTCCATCCCCACTGACGACCCTGGGGCAGTTCTTAGGGTTCGCTGGTGAGACCCTCCCCACTGAACAGAGAGCCTGCAAGTGCCTGGGCCTGGGGCGGAAGGTTCCTGCAGGGGGACAGCAGCAGATCCCAGACGGCCCTGGGTGGAGCCAAGGCCCATGCCAGGGGCAATACAGACGCTCCCCGTGTCCATCTCGTTTAGGGCCACGGGCCGTGAGGAAGATGCCTTCCCAGGAGTGGAGGCAGAGGCCTTGTCAGGTGAGAGCTGGGGGTGTGGGGCCGGCTGGTTTCTTTCGGGGCTGTGGGTGGGTGGGCGGAGACGCCGTCCCCCATTGGGTGCACTAGGAAGATGAGGCCAGGTTGGGCAGCCCCATTTGAGGCAGAGTTCCCCGAGAAGCCCTTAGACAGGCATTTGGCCCACCAGGCCTGGAGCTGGACCAGACAGGGCCAGCAAGGGCAGACGTGGGCGCAGCCAAACACGGAAATAAATGGCCAGAGTGGGGAACTGGCGCCAGAAGGAAGCCTGAGCAAAAGGAGGAGAGACCCGTGTCCCAGTCAGAAGAGAACCATTAGGGTCCAGAAGAGGGTGGTCCTAGGAAACAGGGGCAGACCAGGGAGAACTGGAAGAGGCCCTCACACTCAGTGTGGGGGTCACTGTTGAGTGGAGAAGCCTGCGGGGGAGTGGGCTGTCAAGCTCCGGGCAGGGCGCTGGGAGGTTGACGGCCCTTGCAGGGACAAGGACAGCATTGTGGGCTCCACTGATGGGCCTGCGGGTCCAGGAGGGGGTGGGGGAGAGCTCCTGAGTGCTGTCCACAAGCAGAAGGTAGGAAGTGGCAGGTGGGGAGGGTCTAGAGCCCAGAAAAGGGGGTAAGGGGGCAGGAATTGGACTTCCCTGAGGTGACGAGCCCCAGCCCAGGGCTCGGTAGTGGCTGGGGTTGGGGGACTGGCTTAGAGCAGTGGGGACAGAGGTGGCCCTTGGACTCACCCAGCTCCAGGCTCAAGGCAGCGGCCAGCAAGAGCCCAGGGAGCAGCCGCATGGTTTCCTGGGTCAAGGCAGGCTCGCAGGTACCAGGCTGCCCTCTTATACCGGCTGCTCCCGCCGGCTCTGACTCACCTGGCCGCTGACTCAGTGGAGGAGCCAGGCTGGGTCCTGCCCAGCCCCCAGGCCCCAGGCCCAGCCCCGTTTATCACACAGACCTCTTTGTCCATCAGATGGCAGGGTGGGGACCAGGTAAGACCCCCTGGCACAGTGTCTGGTTTTCCTGTGAGGAACTGGAACAAGGGTCCAGCACAGACCTGAGCTCGCCCTTCCCGCTCAACACGCCTGCGAAGCTTAGGGGTAGCCAGAAGTGCCCCCCCAAGGTGTCCGATGACCAGCTCCCCTCCTCAGAGCGGGAACGGGTGCGTCCTCCGCGGTCCTGGCGGTGGAGAGCTGCGGCCTTGCTAGGAGTGATGAGGGCTGGTGGCTGTCGCGGAGCTCACACGGCAGGACCCAAGACCTGGGCAGCGTGCCCGTGTGCCCTGTGGCTGGGGCCGGGGAGGTGCGGGGAGCAGAGAGATATTTCAAAGGGTCCCATGATGGGTGAGAGCCCAAAAGGGCGCATGTGAGAGCAGAAGCCAGATGTGCGGAGCCACCTGCCGGCCCCACCATTCTGCCAAAAGCCGTGGGGGCAGCGCAGAAGCTTGTCCACCCACCGGTCCTTGTGTCTGCTCTGGCCGCCGAGTGGCTTCTGTCCACCACTCTATCTGGTGGGCTCCTTCCGGCTGGAGCTGAGTGGACTCAGACCCTGCCCCTAGGGGAAGAGCTTGAAAGCAGGGGTGGTAGGTGGGTTCCTGGGGTCCCCCCAGCCCCCTCTAGGGACTCCTCTCAGAGGGAGGCCGGGTGAATTGGTGGGCCTGTCACTTTTCCCTGGAGCCCCGGGTCCTTGGCTTCTCGTGCCCGCTTCCCTCCCATGGGTCGTCCCCTTGTCCCATGCCAGCTCTGGCTCCAAGGGCGACGGGATGAACCAGGGCGAATTGGAGTCTGGGACCCACAGAGCCGGCATGACCAGCCGTACGAGGCCAGGGAGGGGACCTGGCGCCGGCCGCGGCGGCCGCTGAGAACAGAGAGACGGGTGGACGTATGTATTTACCCATTTATTCACACTCGAGACACTGACAGGGCCTCCTTGAAGTGCATCATGTGAGCAAAGGAGGGAGCCCTGGCCCGAAGGCGGGTTCTCATGCCGATCAAGGTCAGGGTCAGGGCTACGGGGCTTAGCATTAGCCGCCAGGGTGCGGCACAGCCCTGGAAGGGCCCAGCCCTCGCACATGGCACGAAGGGAAGAGGGGCCACCCATCCATCCGTCCATCCGAAGCCTCCTGTGTGCTAGGGCCGGGGCCGGGCATGTTCACCCACAGCCTCGGCCGTGCTCCCGAGGCTCGGCTTGCGGGGACCGACCAGTCCCATTTTACCAATGAGACAGCTGAGGCTCAGAGACGTGGGTGAGGACCTCCAGGCACCCCGAGTTGTAGGACCCAACAAAACTCACGGGAGGGGGGTAGAAGAAAGAAGGAGGCATCCCCATTTCTTTGCACCCTTTTCAGTGGTAAGATGGGTGTTTAACAAATCAGCTGCTGCAAAGGGAGATGGGGTGGTGGATGCACCCTCCCCCTCCCCTCCCAGCAGTGGGGCGGGCGCTTTGGAGGGTGCCCCGAAGGTCAGCGCCCGCAGTTCCGGCTGCTCAGCTGTGCTCCGAGGGGACCCATGGCAGGTGGCACTGAGACCTTCGGGCTGCTTCCAGACTTGAGACGCCACAGGGAGCTTCAAGGAGCACCTCTATTCCCGTCCAGGGGGTACTCGCTTCTGTTGGAGGGACCCCTTCCCACAGAGGACATGCCCACTGCCTGCGGGCAGCCTGGCAACTCCAGCCAGACCGGGACAGACACAGGGCTGGACACCTGCCTGGGGGCCTCATGGCTTCTCAGGTCTCTGGTTCCACTCTTCTTCTAGAGTTCTCCTGACCCTAAGCTCTTGTATTTCCTGGGCGCAGTTTGTTTTCAGTTTATAAAACCCCTCCTTGGTTTCCCCACCCCAGGCTCGGGGGTGCAGCCTCCTAGCCGGTGGGAGAATACTGCTCAGTGGGGCAGGGGTGTGGCGGCTGGGCGCCCTGTCCCGATTTGTACCTCACCTGTGAAGGGGGCGTGGGAATGGCTTGCTCCTCGCAGGGTGGTCATGGAGTGCCGGTGGCCGGGGCACAGTGAAGCCAGACGGAGGTCAGACCCCGTCCTCATCAGTGTGGTCCCCACCGGCACTGCCCTTCAAGTTCAGTGTCACGGGCTTCCCACTAGGGTCCAGGTCCCATATCAGCTGAGGGCCTGCCAAGGGCTCCGTGCTGGGTTCTGGGGACAGCCCATCCAGCCAGGGGGCTGTGGGAGTGTGTGTGTGCGGGGCATGGTCCTGTGGGCCGGGTGCAATGTTCTGGGTCTTGGACTTGGATTGGGTCATAGCGGAGGATGGGCAGATGGGGACAGAAGGCAGGTATAAGGACCCCCATACTGCGGCAAGCCCGGCTCCCTGCTCTCGGGGACCCCAGAACCCCAAGGTGGCTAGGCAGGTCTCTAAGGTCATCACCCACTGAGGGGAGGGGGGACTGACCCTGTGCTCCTCCCAGCTGTGGCCTAGGATGCCGCTGACCTGGGACAAGTCTTACACAAGCTAACAACTGCTTCCAAGCCTCTCCCACTGAGTCAGGAGGCCAAGGGCGGCTGGGGCTACAGGCCCATGTCCACCCTTCCTCCTAGCAGGCTTCCACAGCCAGAGGCCTGTGCCGGCCTTCCAGCCAGCTCTGTGAGCGAGCTGGGTCACTTCCCCGAGGCTGATCACTCTTGGGGAGTCCTGCTGGACCTTTGGGAGCTCGCGGCTGGGGTCTGGCTTGCTCCCAGCCTCCCCCAGGGAGCACTCACACCGGATTGGGCTGTGGAGGACAGAGACACCCAGGTCTCCGTGGGGACTGAGCTCTTGACCAGGCACTCCCTGAGTGCAGCGCCTTCCTGCCCAGGATGAGGCCTATCTTCCCAGACATTCTGGGAGGTCCAAGCAGCCAGTCAAGTCTGAGGACCCCGCCCGAGGCTCTCCTAGTCCCTCGAGTTCCAGAAGGACCTGAGTGAAACTCTCCGGGCAGACTGTCCAGCCCCCCCCCCGCCCCCCATGAGAGCCAGACTGTCCAGCTCCCCCCAACCCCACCATGAGAGCCATGCTCTCGGGCCATGGGCTCCTGAGTTCCAGGGACAATCCCACCATATAAGCATTTGCCACTGTCCTGCCAATTTAGGCCCAGACAGCTTGAAGGGGCTCCTAGGCTCCTCTACGGACAACGGAGCTGGGGACACTGGTCAGGTAAGGCCTCAAGCCCTGTGTGCCCTGGGGCATGAGGACATGTGCGCAGTCTGGCCCCACTGGCAGGAAGATGCGTTTCCCAGGCCACCCTTACCCAGGATGGTCCATGTTGGGCGGACTCTTGTTTCCCAAACCAGGACAGGGATGGGGTTCACCTAGGCTGGGCACCCTTTAAATAATGCCAATTCTTGGGCTCTTGGGGGTCCCAATGCCCCGCCGGCTTGGGGGCACCAGCACGCCACTCTTCAAATCAAGGAGGGAGCTCTTCAGCCTCAGGTGGACCGCTCTTTCCCGGCTCAGGCAGTCAGAGGCTGGAGGGTCCTTGTGAAGACCCTCAGGCTTTGGGGCCAAGGCCAGGTCAGCCAGCCCTCATTCAGCCAGGCCTGCAGACCAGAGCAGAGGGGGGCACGCTGGAAGTGGATGTCAACAGGTTGTTGGGATTGGGGTGCACAGGAAATCTCGGGGCACATGTCCGAAGGGAGCTGGGTCATTGGCATCTGGACTCTGCCTCTCCCAGCCTCTGTCCTGGACGGACTCCCAGGATCCCCGCCCCAGCTGACTCAGGTGGGCAAACTCTCCCAGACGCCCACTGCGGCTCGCCCCCCTCTGTTAAGGGGCACACTAGGGCTGAAGACGAGGCTGTTTGGGCCCACCCCCCCCAGCTTGCTTTCCTCCCTGCCGAAAATAGTCCTGGGGTCAGCTCTGGGCTTCACCAAATATAGCTGCCCGCCTGCCCCTCCCCCAAGTGCCTGCCAGCCTCAGGCCAGGGTGGGGAAGGGGAAAAGTAAAAAGGGGAAGACTCCCTTACCAGGTTTCTGGGGGCGAGGGAGGCGCTCAGGGTTCTCTTTAGGTTGAGATCACCCCCAACCCCCAGCCAAGGGCTGCCAGGATGTTCCTGGCACTCCTACCTGGGACAGCAGATAGAGATAAAGCCCTGCCTCCCTCGGGCCTCTATGCCACAGCTCCCCCGGGGCAGCTCCTGGCCTCAGTCAGAGGCACAGAGATAGCCCTCCTGGTGCCCCAGAAACCCCTTCTTCCCAGGATGGTCCCTCACCCATCCTGGGTCCCCAATTTCCCCTCACGGCTCCCCACACTTCCTGGGTGGACTGGGGTGGGGCCTTGCTCCCAGAGCTGCCAGGAAGGCGAGCCAAGTCTCCCTTCAGATCAGTGTTCCTCAGCCAGCAGAGGACCCTAGCTAAGCAGCACACTTTGCCAGGCTCCTCTGGGAGGGCTGGGCCCACATCGACCTTTCAAGAACAGAAGGTCGTGGTCTGGGAGCGAGGCCCAGCGAAGCCCAGGGTGGCAGGCAGGCAAGGGAGTCCCTCTAGCAGGCAGTGCTGGGTGTAGCTGGGTAGGGGTGGGGTGCAGCAGGTGGGTGGGGTGTGCGGGGTGAAAGGGAAAGGCTGAGCCTCTCAGGACCTTGTCCTGGAGTGGGTCCTGGGGGGCGGGGTTTAGAGCAGACCCCAGAGGGTAGCCAGGAGAATGGGTGCCAGGGCCAGGGCCCCAGGCACGGCAAGGCCGGCGCTGTTACAGAGGTCGTACTGGCAGCAGGCAGTGGTGGAGGCGTGTTTGGAATAACCGTCATACACTGTCTCAAAGCAGCTGGGCACACAGGACTTGCTGACCTTCATCCTGGTCGGGGTGTAGTCTGCAGAGGGGAGGCAGGCGAGGGACCAGGGTTGGTCCACCCTGGCTGGACCCAGGGTGCTGGGTCCCCCAGCCAGGTGCTCCCAGAATCCGAGTGCAGCAGGGAGCCTCCCTCCTCTGGGTCCCACACTGCCCGGGGCAGGGGAGGACAGCCCTCACACCCCCCTCCCCAGGAAGGGCAGCAGGGGACACCGGCGGACTCACAAGTGCGCGTGGTCATGCAGTAGGTGACCATGGCTGGGCAACGCATGGGGTTGAAGCAGTTCTCTCCATTGTAGGCGCACACGTGGCAGTCCAGAGCCTGGGCTGGGGGCCAGGGTGTGGGGTGGGAGCTGGATTGGAGAGGCCCCTCCTCCAGCCCGTCAGACCCCAGGCCCTGTTACCTTCCTCAGGGCAGAAAGCTGGACGGAGGTGGTTAGGCCTTCTGGCCTCCCTCCCCATTTCTGGCCCAACTGTTCTCCCCCCCAACCCCCCGAACAGGTGTCTGTCCATCGCTCTGTTCTCCAACTGTCTTACCTAGAGGGAGGCCCACCAGGGCTGCCAGGAACAGGGTGAGGAGGGCTGCCATGGCTGGAGGTGGGAGGACAGAGTGGGAGTGGTGGGCTGGGCAGGGCACAGAGGGGTCAGACGACCCCTGCCATCCGGGAGCTCCTGGTTGCCTCAAGGCACTGCAGCGCTGCACAGAGGGAGACAAAGACAGGTGGTCACCAGGAGGACTGAGAGACCCCAGGGGACCTGTGCAGAAGGGCCACCCTACCCAGAGTGTCAGGCTTCCTGAAGAAAGGAACATGAAAAGAGATGAGAAGGGAGCAGGGTGGGGGACATTCCAAGGGGAGAGGCAGGCATCTGCAAGACAGGAGACCTGTGGCGCAGACTCGGGGGACGGTCCATGCAGGGCCCCGTGGGAGCCTGATACGCTGCCCCCCCTCCCCGCCCCCGTCACCTAGGGCCCTGAATGCAGGACTGGGCCCCAGGGCTGGGTCTCTCCTCATGGCTTCCCCTCCCCTTTGCTCCTGGTGATGAGGGAGCAGAAGGCTAGCTGAAGAAGCAGAAGGTGACACCCTGCAGCCCCCCCTCCCCCTCACTGCCGCCCACTCCTGGGGGGACATGTGATGTTCTTCCCAGAAGCTCCCAACTGTCTTAATGTTACTGCTTTGCTACGGGTAAATAACCTGGACAATGGCGAGGCCTCCAGGACCCTGAAGGTCCTCTTGAGCATATAAAAGGTCTTTTGAAAAACTCCCTTTCTCCATACCTCCCCCAACCCCATGGTACATAGTCATTTCCTCCTCAGGACCCCAGTGCAGCTCTTTCTGCCCGCAGGTCCCATCCCTGGGCTTTAATAAAACCACCAATTTGCACCAAAGACCTCTCAAGAACCCTCTTTTGGGAATCGGCTCCAGACCCCACTCCACCAAACCTCATCTATATTCCAAAATCACGTCACTGGGGTATCCCTGAGTGGGTCTCCACTTCTGCTCCTTTCAGGGTCCAGGCGGGGGCTGCGCTCCCAGGAAGACCTCCAGAGCCCCGCCCTACTTGGGCCTTCCAGGTCTGCGTCCCTGGCCACAGCCGCAGTTCCGCGCAGTGCTGAGCTCGGACCAGGCGGAGGGGCACTGGGCAAACAGCAGGAGAACTAACTTCCCAGTTCCCCTACGGTGTTTGGGATGGAGAGATCCAGTCTCCGGTGAGAGGCGGGGCGGGGGTGGGGTGCGGCATTTGGACTAGGACTCCCCTCCGCCCTGCGGGGACATTCGGGACTGGTGGGGGTGCGCAGCGTCCCCGCCCCAGCGGACTAGGTTAGACTCCGCCCTCCCCAGCACGTCAAACCCGCACTTCTTCAGGCCCCGTTTCCCAAGAGCCGACTTCAGGACGCCCGAGGCCTGAGCGAGGCCGAGCCGCGGCTCCAGCGCTTCCCGCCTCTCCCGGAGAGCTCCGCCCCGAAGACTGCGGTCCCCAGCAGAGGGGGAAGGTTTCGGGTGACCTCAACCGTGACCTTCAGCACACCGTACCTCCGCTGCGCCCGAGACTCCCCCGCGGCCGCTCGCCGAGCCCCCGGTCTGATAGCAGGATGGCCCGAGCGCCCCGCGGTGACCACTAGGCAGTGCCCCTCCGCGGCCTGTGCAGCTGGAAGCCAACCGCAGCGCGTGAGCTCTCCGCCGGAGGCTCCGCCCCGGCCCTCCCCGGCCCGCCCCCGGCCGGCTTTGGGCCCGCCCCGGCCCCGGCCCCGGCCCGCCCCGGGCCCACCCTTCCCCAGCTCTTCCCAGTCTCCCCCAGTCTCCGCCCCCGGGCTCCAGTCTGTCTCAGCCCCGCCCCAGCCCCGCCCCCTTCACAGCTCCGTCCCTGGCCCTATTTAGCTTCGGCCCCGCCCCCCTGCCTAGTCTTGGTCCTGCTCCGGCTCCACCCCATTCCCAGCTCGGCCCAATCCTCGCCCCGGCTCCGCCCCTGACTCGCATTTATCTTGACCACGCCCCAAGCTCCGCCCAGTCTCCGCCTCGCCCCCAGCTCCGCCCCTGGCTCCCTTTCTTGTCGGTCACGCCCCAGCTCCGCCCAGTCTCAGCCCCGCCCCGGCTCCGCCGTCTCCGCCCCCGCCCCAGGTAGGCCCAGGCTCCACCCCAACGCCCCTCCCATCTCGCTTCAGCCAGCCCGCCGCCCACGGGGATTCAAACCTCAGCCCCAGCGTCGCGCAACTCCCGCACGGCGGAGTGCGGCAGGACAGGGATACCCACGCGATCCTCAGATGCACGTGCACCGTTCAGGAGCTACCTCCACGGGGTCTGGCCGCAGCGACCCGGCTGAAGCTTCGGGCTCTCCCAGTCTCTCCCTGCTGCTGCCAGGTGCACTTTGACCCCTCTTCCATGCCACCACCCAGGACCTAGTCCTCGAGCCCGGTTCAGCAGAGGTGCTGCATGGAGCTGTCCCAGGGCGCAGTGACCCCTGGACCCGGCTCCCTGTTCAGCCTGCCTGGGTCCCCACCTGGCCCTGCCTTAGCTGCTGAGTGACTTCTGCATTTTACCGAGCATTTCCGGGCTTCAGTCCCCGCAACGGTCCCTGGTCCCCGTCTAGCAAAGCGGAACGGCAAGCCTTGAACTTGAATCCCATTACTTCAGGGCCACCCTCCAACCATAGTATCAATATTAAATAACTGGTTTTTTTTAAGATTTTTATTTTTATTTATTTGACAGACAGAGATCACAAGTAGGCAGAGAGGCAGGCAGAGAGAGGAGGAAGCAGGCTCCCCGCGGAGCAGAGAGCCCCACGCGGGGCTCAATCCCAGGACCCGGAGACCACGACCCGAGCCGAAGGCAGAGGCTTTAACCCACTGAGCCACCCAGGCGCCCCTAAATAACTGGTTTTTACTTATATAACTTCACTTCAACATTTAGCTTTTGTTCTGTTTTAGGTGAAATTTAAGATTTTCATGGACCCTAAATTTTTCATTTTTTTTTCTGATGCGAAAACACAACATTCCATTTGACTACATATAAGGGTTTTTTTTTTGTTGTTGTTGTTGTTGTTCTGTTTTTTGTTTTTGTTTTTGTTTTGTCTTGAAAGGAGGTGAATTGTTTGGGGGGCCCTAGGCACTGAGCCTCCAGACCCATGGAGGCAATCTCTGTGGGCAGACTGGAATGGTTGGTCACCCTGTTTGCCAGTGGCCACTGAGATGTCCGTCCCATGTACCCCAAATATCTCATCCTCATGAAGCTCACACTCTAACAGGGCAGAGAATAAACACATGGGTCAAAACCAGAGCACACCACCGGCTTCAGCATCAGGCTATGCGCATTAATGAGAACTGGGTTTACCGCCTTGCCTTAAGCAACCAAAAAAGGGAAAATAAATGAAGCAGTGTTTTTTGGTCATTGCATGACAGGCCAACAGAGTCTGGGACTCTGGAGGAAGGACTTCGCAGAAGGGACTGCAGGCTTTACCTCGGGGGGACCGAGCAGAGCCTGCGTGCTCTCCCTGAGGGAGGAGACAAGTGCCAGGGCAGCTGGGATTCACAGGACAGAGCTCAGAGCTCAGGTTGAGGAGGGCTGCTCAAGAGAGAGGAGGTGAGCAGAGGGGGCTGTTGACAAGGGGCAGCAAAACAGTCCCCAGAGTCACACGGGGCTGGGAGTTCACCTGTGTGAGCTGGGACCAGAAACCTTAAAATATGGGGTCACCAGATGGAATGCTCAGAAGGAAATCGTCTTAGTCGTGGGCACTACACGCCTGGATCACAGATCACATCTGGTCCCACCTAACGAAGCCTTGAAAGGGTCCAGTCGTCTCCAAGTAACTTCATTGCATCCTAAGACAAAGCTCGAAAGAGAAAATAAGCCAGCATTCCACAATGTAACATCTAATTAAGTGCCTGGCATTTAATGGTGAAAACACCATCAGGCATGAGAAGAAGCAGGAAAAATGAGACCCATGTGGGGAGAAAAAAATCATTAGAAACAGACACACAAATGACACAGCCAGTAGTGTTATTGAGCATGCACATTAAAACAGACACCATAGTTGTTAAGCATCTGCCTTTGGCTCAGGTCATGATCCCTGGGGTCCCAGGATGAAGCCCCATGGAGGGCTCCCTGCTCAGCGGGGAGCCTGCTTCTCCCTCTCCTTCTCCCACTACTTGTGTTCCTTCCCTGTGTCTCTCTCTGTCAAATAAATAAAATCTTAAAAAAAAAAAAGACACCATATTTCCCATACTCAAGCAGACAGAGGGGAGCATGACTGTGTTGGGGAGCTGTGGGAAATAAAAAAGTACAAACCGAATTTCTAAAGTTGAAAAATGGGTCTGTGATGAAAAACGTGCTGGGGGGTAATTAACGGCCCACTGGAGTCTGCGGGTCAAAGATCAGAGGCTTGAGGGTAAAGCACCAGGCAGAGGCTGCCAGGAAACAGAATGAGCAGGGACAGCCTGGCCGCAGCTTCCAGTGGCCCCGTGTGCGTCACCGGAGTCCCAGAAGGAGAGGCGAGGAAGAGAAAAAATGTTTCCAAGAAATAATGGCCACATTTTCCCGAATTTGTTGAGAACTATAAATCCATGGAACCCAGAAACTCAATGAACACAAAGTACAAGAAATAAGAAGAAAACCAGGCCAGAGCACGTCTGGAGGCAGGTGTGGAGAAGCAGCGACAGCGAGGAAACCTCGGGACCGCTTCGGAGAGCGCGGGGGCACAGCTGCCCCATGAGCTAGTGGCAGAGACAGAGGGAATGTCAGGAACCCCAGAACCCAGCGGTGGAGTCTGAAAGTGCAGCGGGCAGTGCCAGTGAAGCCCTCCCCAGGGGCAGCGTGGAGGGGCGTGGAGAGGCGGGAGGGGCGTAGAGGGGGTGTGGGGGGCGTGGAGGGGCGTGGAGGGGGCGTGGAGAGGCGGGAGGGGCGTGGAGGGGGTGTGGGGGGCATGGAGGGGCGTGGAGGGGGCGTGGAGAGGCGAGAGGGGAGTGGAGGGGGTGTGGGGGGCGTGGAGGGGCCATGGAGGGGCGTGGAGGGGGTGCGGAGGGGCGTGGAGGGGCGTGGAGGGAGCGCGGAGGGCCGTGGAGGGGCGTGGAGGGGGTGCGGAGGGGCGTGGAGGGAGCGCGGAGGGCCGTGGAGGGGCGTGGAGGGGGTGCGGCGGGCCGTGGAGGGGGCGTGGAGGGGCCGTGGGGCGCCCGCCCGCCCTTTTTTTCTTACTTTGGAATTCGGAGGTAAGTGGCCGCTTGGAGCAGAGGCGGTTCCGCTCCGTGAGGAGCTGCTCGGCAAGTGCAGGAGTCGCGCGACGGTCGCGGCCACGCGGTGCGGACAGAAGGGAAGCGCCGCGCTGTGTGCGCTCCGGAGCCCGACGGCGTCGGCTGAAGACGGACAAACACCAGAGCAAGCGCGCGCGCAGAGAAGGGACGGAAAGCGGAATCGGAGAGCTCCGCCTGAGAACGCAGCAAAGGGGATTACGGAATCAGAAAAAATTAATCTGTGAGTCATAGAGAAGGCTGGCGGGCAGCTCGGGTGCCAAGGAGAAGACAAGGGCCGGAGAACAGACTCTGCACCCGAAAGTCCGCTCGGTGGCCCGGACGCCCGGAGAGAAGCAGGGGCAGAGCTTCGCGGTGCCGTCCTCAGGCGCCCTCCGCTCCCGCTGAGCGCGCAGGACAGAGATCCAGGTCAACACCGCGACGGGAAAGCACGGGCGGGCGCAGTCCCGGCAGACAAAGTGCGCCCGGAGCTGAGGATTCAGCCAGCGAGGACGGGGGACACTCTGTAAGTGCGAAGGGATTGGCTTAGAAAGGCCCAGAACGACTCTAAAAGTTCCCGTACCTGACAGCTGTGCTTCAGAACACACCAGCGCGGGGGCCTGGCAGAAGGGAGAAGAAGAAAATCACACGCACAGCCAGAATGTGATTCCTCCTTCCTCCACCCTCAGGATCCGAGAGCAGAAATGCGCAAACCCAGGGAGGGCAGGAGGACCTGAACAGCACAGCCGCCCGCTGCGTGGGCAGGGAGCCCTGTGCCCGGCGGGCTGGGGGACAGAGCATTTCCCAGGACAGCCTGTGCTCTGGGGCCATAGGACAAATCCCAGTACACTCACAAGGACTGGAATCAGATGAGTGGTTTCCTCGGACAGCATGGATCAGATACAAGCAAGAGACAAGTATGTGTGGGAGCGCCCAGGTATTTCGACACTGAGCACCGCGTTCTAGGTAACTGCCAGGCCAGAGGAGAAGTTTGCCAGGAGATAAGAAAGAATTTCCAGGCCACGGAAAGTGAACGCAACCCAGGGAGGTCCGTGGGCACAGCGGAAGCAGTGTTGGGACAGGGAGTGTCCTTGCAGCTCACGGTAGAAAACCAGGAAGCTCTCAACACAGTGAGACTAGAACAAGAGCATAGAAAAGCCCAAGGAAGCAAGAAAAAGGGAATAATAGAAATAAGAGCCAAAAAAGAGAAAAATCTGTGAAAAAGCGGAAGAAAAACAACAACGAAATCGGCCAAACCGAAAGCTGACTCTTTGAGAACATCGGTATGATTCTTGAACCTCTGTGTAGATGGATCAAACAGAGATGAGATGAGACCAACGCAAAGCAGGGATGAGAAAGGGGGCATGGGGACAGGTCGTGACAACATTACACCGGTACGTTCTATAGGTGAGAGGACTCGCGCCAGGCCCTACACATACACAGGCCGGCTTCGTTCTCGGGCCAGGAAACGCGTAACGGAGTACCCCTCTGTCTTTGGAAGAAAAGTCTGGAAGAGTTGGGAGGCCACCATCCCTCTGAGACCCAGAACCAGACTCAGACACTGCAGGGCACTGCAGCGGGCCTGCGCCTCTCCCCGACTTAGCTGTAGAAGTTAGGAACGAGAGCATAGTAAACGCATCTGAGAATAGAGAAAAGGAGATGTAACGTGACCAGGCCCAAGGCGGCTTTGACATCGAAGACCAAGTGTGACTTGCTGTGTCCACAAGACGACTGTCTGCATAGATTTGGGAAAAATCTTTCACAAAATCTCACGTCCGTTTCTGATTAAACCAACCCACCCACCCACCAAGCAACCAAGGTCTCCGCAAACCAGGAGCAGGGGGGACTGTCTTAGCCTGATGAAGGCTCCTGCAGAAGCCCTGTGGCTCCTCCGTCTGGTCTGGAAGGACGGGGTGCGGGCCTCCGACGGCGCGTGCACAGCCGCGTGCTGCAAGCCTGGCGGTGCAGCGGGGCAGGACAGAGACATAAACAACACAAAGACTGGAAGGGAAGTGAAACTGCCCCCGGTTTTCGGATGACAGCACTCTTCACATAGAAAATTTTGGGGAATTGAAAAAAAAAAAAAAAAGCCAACTCAAGAAAGCTGTCCTAGACCTATGTTGCTTTAGCAAGGTTGTGTGGTCAAAGGTCAGCACGCAGACGCTGACTGTATGTCCATATTCCTACAACCAAAAACTGATCACTGGAAATTGAAAAGATGCTTTATAAATAGCATCCCAGGGGCGCCTGGGTGGCTCAGTCTGTCTTTGGCTCAGGTCATGATCCTGGAGTCCAGGAATCAAGTCCCACATTGGGATCCCTGCTCAGCAAGGAGCCTGCTTCTCCCTCTGCTTGCCTCCCCAACCCCTTGCCCCGCTTGTACTCTCGTGCTCTCTCTCTCTCTCTCGCTTGCTCTCTGGTAAATAAATAAATAAAATCTAAAAAAAAAAAAAAAAAAAGAATTACGAATAGCGTCCCATGCAGTATCTAGGGATGACACTGACGAAAGATGGGGAAGACCTGCTCCCTTTGAAAGCCACGCAACAGTGCTGACATACATTTTCAAGGGCTTCACCAGATAGAGAGGCTCGTCTTGCTCTGTGACACTCATATTTGCGGTCAGACTTCACAACAAGACCTAACTTCTCCCTGAAACCCCCTGTGGATTTCATTCCCAGACCAAAGCCCAAGGGCATTTTTCTTGAAGAAATTAGCAGACTAACTCAGAAATTTGTATGGAAATGCAAAGGATCTGAAATAGCTAAACCATTTTGAGAAAGAAGGTAAAGGGTAGAGGTCTCGCAAGACTTGATTTTAGGTCTTAAGATATTCACGGTAGTACGGTAGGGGTCAGGACAGACGTACAGACCCAGTGGACAGAGCTAGTGCCTAGGACAGACCGCATGTGTATGGTCGGCTGACTTTTGACAAAGGTACTAAGTCATGTCAACGGAGAGAGGACTAGCGTTGCCACCAGCGAGGCCAGACGCGAGCAAACTTGACGTCTGTCTGTGTGTCCCATCCGTGGGCTCGCAGTGGGTCACAGGCCTCACGTAAGAGCGACGCCATTGGAAATCTTAGTGACCTCGGGTATGGCAGACACTTCTTTAAAAACACAGACCTAAGAGAAGAAACCCATAAAAGGGGCTTGATCAAAACGGAACTTTTACTCTTCACAGAACAATGTTATAAAAATGACAAGACCAGCCGGGTCGAGAGAACATATTTGCGAGTTGTTGTGTCCGAGAAGTTGTATCTACAATGGGGAACTGCGTTTATACATAGTCATCAGCCAAACGACCCCAGAGAGACAAGGGAGTAAAAGGAGTCGAGCAATTTATCAGAGAAGGTACCCAGACGCAAACACGCACGACATGCTCTATTCATCGAGGAGACGTGTGCAAACAGGACCCACAGGGAGACCCCACAGCCCCCGAATCAGGACGGTCGAAGAGTGACCACAGCAAGGCTCGGATGTGCAGTGACCGGAATCTTCTTCCTCTGACGGAAAGAACATGGGGAGAACAGCCACTTTGGACAACAGTTTGGTGGCCGCTCAACCCGGAAGCATCCCTCTGTCCTCTGCCCCGTGCACCGCCTCCTGGCCTTTACCCAAGTGAAAGGAAGCCTGTCCCCACGAAGACCTGCACGTGGGTGTCTGTAGCAGCGTCACTCTGAGTGCTCGGGCCCGGGGACACGCCAGCTGCCAGCCGGCAGATGCACGGAGGGACGGGCCACAGCCACGGCGGCCAGGCTGCACGGTGGCCACACAGCCGAGCTCCAGCAGGGCCAGGAGCGAAGACCAGGACGCCCCAGAGCAGGGCTGCGTCTCTGAATCCCGTCAGCTCCGTTTCACCGAGTTCTGGACAACGTGGGCTGCTGGGCAGTGTGGGGGTCTCGTCCAAGCGGCCGCGAAGAACATGGCCAAGAACAGAGCAGACGCAGGGTTGCCCGGGATGGGGTGCGCAGGGAAGGATGGAGAGGGCACGGGCAGGGGTGCGGGCGGCTTTGGGGGGAATGGCTGTGCTCATTGTCTTGATGGTAGTGACGACCTCCTGCACACGACGTGTCCAAGCCCATCGCCGTGCACACTTGAGGGCGTTGTTCGATGTACCTCGAGGGCACCTTGCTGAAACAGCACCGTGGGTCAGGTGGTGAGGAAAGAGCTATGGGGAGACATGGACGGGGCTGCGGGCTGGGGCGGCCTCCGTGCGTGGGCCACACGGGGACACGGGTGCGTCAGATGGTGGCGCCCGTGTGAGGCTCCTGGGACGGCAGCACAGGCGCAGTTGGTGGAGCGGGCACCATGCTCCGAAGCTCAGGCTTCTGCTGCCACGCTCAGGCCGCATGGCGCCTGCCCCTCCTGCTCCCGGGGGCCCCACAACTCTGCCATCTCCCTGCCCTGCACCCGGCTGGGGCCCCCAGCAGCCAGGACTCGCCCTTGCCGGCACTGGACTTGGGACTCTGTCTGACCCACAGTGAGGCCTGAGAGTGTGATGACTATCTGAGGGGTGGAGGAAGCCCCCAGAAGCCTCTGGTCCTCTGAGGAGCGGGGAGGTTGCTGGCTTGGACACCTGGCGGGTTCTGGGAACTCCCAGATGCAATGGTTCAAATTGTCCGGATCCAGACAGCAAGCCCCTAACCCAGGCAGTGGGGCCCTGAACCCACACAGCTGGGCCAAGGTAAGTTTACCTGCCTTGGGTTGATCCCGATCCCTGGTGAGCTCAGCAGCCCCCTTGGCCAACCTCCCCAGGGTGGATTTGGGGTGTGTGTGTGTGTGTGTCTCTGTGTCTGGGCACTTGGGCTGGGTGCCAGAAAGAGCACTCAAGCCTTCTGCCCTGTGCCCTTGCTCAGCGCCCCCCCCCCCCCCCCCCCCGGAGCATTCCCCCTTCTGGGGCTGGCAGAGGGCGCCTGGGGAGAGTTATGTCTCCTCTGAAGACGAGGAGTGATGGTGGCATTTCAGGCCTCGTGCATGATGGCAAGACTGGGCCCGGGTGACAAGCCCCAGGAGCTGGGGGCCTGTGTGCCCAGATGGCCCCTCCCCACCCCCTGCAGCCCCCGGATAGCACGGACACAGCTACGCTGATTTTCAGGCATTTATTCCTCTGCAATTAGAAAAATAAACAGAACCCGAACAGAATGAGTGTCCAGTCAGAAGGGGTCCGATTGCCGTCTGCCTCCTGCCTTCCTGCCACTCGGGGACGTCCACCGTCCTGTCTGGGAGAGGGGCCCCAGACCCTGGCAGGCCAGCTCAGCCAGGGGACTCCCAAGCTCCCCTCACCGCAAGGCCAGTGGGAGGGGCTGAGGAGCAGGAAGGCCTCGGGAAAGGGATGGGGTTCCCCACCGTGGGGAGGTCACAGGCTGGGGCCCACGAGGAGGGCAAGGAGGCCGAGGGCCAAGGCCAGGCCGAGGCCAGCACCGGGGGCCAGGGTGCGGGCGGGCGCGCTGCTCTGCAGGCTCCGGTTGCACAGGTCGTCCTGACAGCACAGGGTGGCGGCCGCCCCGCTGCTCACCTGGCCCGGCAGGCTGTGCGTGGGCGTGCACGCCTCCACGCAGTCCTTCTCCACCAGGTTCCCCAGCAGGGGCTCCACTGCGGACAGGTGGGTGCGGTCAGGCTGCGCCGCGGCTTTGGACCCCCCAGCCCAGGCAGCAGGCCCCTGTAGCCCCCAAGTCCCAGTCCCCAGCCCCTGGGGCCCCGGGACCCACCGATACCGACATCCTCCTGCAGAAGGCCACGGTCCCGCGAGCCCCAGGGCCCCCACACAGAGCCCTGCCCTGGCCCGGTGCTCCCCACGCTCACCCTTGGTCCTGGTCCTGCAGTAGCGTGCGCTGGCGGCGCAGGTCTGGGCTTTCTCGCAGTTGGAGGAGCTGGAGCACACGTGGCAGCGGAGAGCACGGGCTGGAGGAGGAGGGACACAGGGGGGCCTGGGGTCGCTGCCTGGCCACAGCCCTCTGCCAGCCTTGCATGAGACCCGCCGGCCCCTCTGAGGGGCCCCCGCTGGGGCTTCCATCCTGCACACACCCCCCGGGGCCAGGAGGTGACGGTCCTCCATGGCTGGGACGGTGGGAGGAGGCTCCTGTGCCAGGCATGTCTAGAGAACTGGTGGCTGCTGTGGGCTGGGGACCTCGCCACGGGAGCGTCCCGGAGCTCTGACACTTCCAGAGAGCAGCCTACCACGGCTGGCCCCACCCCAGAGCCTGTCCCCTGTGGTCCCCACGACGAGGGTAATGAGGACCTGAGGCTAAGTCAGGGCTGGGGGGTTTCAGCTCCACCACGCTGAGCTTGCGGGAGGCGGGTTGCCTCGGGGACAGAGTCGGGCTGGATGACTGGCCGCTGGTCATCCTCGGAGGTGGTGGGCGTCTCAAGACAGCTCCCCGCCTCTCTCTCCCTCTCTGTGTGTGGATCCTGGGGGCTGATTCTAAGAGTCTCTGACTCTGTGATATGTTACATCTGATTCCACTAAGCTAAGACCTGAGTTCATTTTGTTTTAAATTCTGAGGGGAGCCCAGGATGCCCGGAGCCTAATGGTGGGTACTGCAAGCTTCCCATGTGTGTCCCTCAGGTCCCTGCTGCCTGCCCCCCACCCCCCGCCCAGCCCCTCACCCACCTGGCCCGGCAGCCACGGCCAGCACAGCAAGGAGCAGGAGAGCTGTCTTCATCTCGGGGCGTCTCTGGGAGCAGTGGGGGCCCCTCCTCTTTGGAGGCCTTATAGCCCGGGACCGGTGCTGATGGGAGGGGTGAAGGTGGCTGCCTTCCAGCTGCCCCACCCTGGCTGGCCCACGCCCGCCAGCCTGGTGCCTGGCTGCCCCTGCCACTGCCACCTGGAGGGACCGCTGCCCCTTGGCTGCTTGCCCCCGCAGGGCAGGGGTCTGCCGTCCCCCATCTCCAGGCTATGATGGAGGCCTCAGCAGGCTCTGCAGCTCACTGCCTGTTCTCCTCTCTCCGACTCTCCGTCCGTCCCTAGATTGCTTTGTCTCGGACTTTCTACTCCCTCCCTTGTACCCCGACCCTCAGATAAGGTCAACGGAGTCACAAGCCTAGGCAGGTGCCCTGTGCCCAGGGGGCAAGCGAGGCAGGTGTAGGCTCTGGCCTGGCTTCCTGGGCTTGGGGCTCAGGACCGCTCGGTGGGCCCACGGAGTGTTGGGAGAAGGACCCCCAGGCAAGCAAGGCATCTTGCTGAGATGTCAGGACCTCAGGGTAGTGAGGAGGGGAGGAAGCCATCCTGGGGCGGGGTCGGCAGCTGGGCAAGCCTGTGGATGAGCCTGCAGAGAGGTGAGCCCCGGACCAGGTGCATCAGGGGGAGGGGCAGGGGCAGAGCTGATGGGGGAGGGGTGGGGGTGGAGGCAGAGACTCAAGGGTTCACTGACCCAGAGACCCCAAGGGCCCCTGTGTCTGCAGCAGCCCTGCCTTGGACGCCGCCCCTCCAGTACTCTGCACTGTGCTCCGGGCACGGTGGAGGACCAGCAGCTTTTATCTGGCTTTGGGACCAGGCCTCTCCAACTCCTGCTCTGGTCCCCAAGGGCAGTGAAGTCTTCCAGGTCAGGGGTGTGGGGCGCTGGGTAGATCCCCGCAACATCACCCTCTCAGAGTGCTCGTGGGGAGGGAAGACCCAGCCCCTAAGTGCAGACACTGTCCTCCCTTCCCTGTAGCTTTCCCTGTCTGCTGGCTGGCCACGGCCCCTCCCGCTACTCTGCTGTGCCTGGCAGACCCTGCTAGGTTGTGGGAGGTCCCCTACGGAGGCCTCCCCTGACCCTGTCCTGGCAGGCCACGCTGACTGTGACGGGGAGTCAGGCCAGAGCACAGAACTCGGCCCTGGGCCTGCGCCAGCCCCATCCCTGCAAGTACTGGAGGGGCAGGGCCTGCTGCAAGGAGGGCGGCCCTGGGCTGGAGGGAGGGCAGGGGGCAGAGCCAGCCTACAGCTCTTGGGAGCACTGTGGGCTCAGGCCGGGGAGATCTGGGAGCCCTTGGCCCTTCCTCCCGGCGTGCCCTGGACAAGCCAGCTCCTGAGCGGGGCCTCACCTGGGCGAGGCAGGCTGCCTCATGGTGCCAATGGGCCAGGGACGTGCTGCCTGACCCTCTGGGCCGCCCTCCCTAAAGATGTTGCTGGCCCTGGTGGGACCTGGCCAGAGGCGCAAGGTTGGCAGAGCATTTCCTTCCAGGACCCCGGAGGCGCAGGGAGGGATGCCAGCAGGAGCCCCTGGGGCAGGCCCACATCAGCAGTCTGAGCCTGTCCCCCGGGCTGGTCCCAGGCTCCCGGGGCCTTATGTAGGGTAGCTGGGGCCTCTTTTGACGAGGCAGGTAATATGGGGGAATTGTGCACTCAGCCAGAGAGAGGAAGTCACCCCAAGCTCTGAGGCCTGGAATTCATCAGGCACAGCCCATTATGGACAGATGGAAGGAGGACACCCCAGAGGCCTCAGGAAACAGGATGTAGGGCTCAGTGACAGGGTGGTGACTGGCATGGGGGGTGGGGTGGGAATGACAGGTGGAGAGGGATGACTCACTGAGGCCAAGGGGCATAGAAGCTAGTAGAACAACGCGTTTGGGGGATTGGGTTTCCTATAGGTCCTGGTAGAGCTAGGGGTCCAGACCAGGAGTGGAAGTTTGGGCATGAGGCTGCCGGGCTCGAGGGGACCCCTGCACCCCTGTCCCATCCTCATGGGGCACCTGAGGCTTCACTGGCCGTGCGCCTGTCAGGCAGGGACAGACACCTGCCAGAAAAGAGGTGGATCCATGGGAAGACAGCCGTTGTCTCTGACAGGGCTGCCGGTGAGGGCATGGGCCGCCCACTAAGATGAGCGCTGCCTGTCCAGGGGCTTCCTAGCAGGACCGTCAGCAGCAGCCTCAGACACAGTTTACTTGTGTGAGAAAGTGGGCTATTTCCATGGCAGGAGCTCTCGGAGAATGGGGAGTCATTGGAACAGTACAGTCAGGGAGGGCTTCCTGGAGGTGGTGGCCTGGCTGCCCTGATCTTGGAGGCAGATCTCAGGGGAGAGAGGAGCCGTCATGGCCCCTTAGGTTGGCCCCTTCCAACATCCTTTCACTGGTGAGGAGATGAGGTCCTGGGGGGACCCCGCTGGCGTCAACCCGACGGTTCCAGGTCACGTGGCCTCCCCTCCTGTCCTCGCTCATCCTCTGGAGAAAGCTGCCACTCTCCAGAATGCAAGCCCTCTCACCCAGTCCCCGGGGCCCGCTGGGTCGCTGGGCCGGATGGCGCCGGGGATTGTTGGCAGCAGAAACAAGGCCTAGAAGAGGTCTTGGAGGGGCCAGGAGTGCTCACGCCCTCACCCCTCAGCCCTGCCTGCTTCCTGAACTCAGCGGCGCCAGGACAAGCCCAGACCTCTGCTGCCTCGTGCCTTTCCTGCTCACGCCCCTGCCCCCCTTCCCCCTGTTCCCCAGGGTCTCAGCCTTGGAGTGGGAGAGGGGAATCAAGGCCTCGATCACCGGGCTCTGGGTGTCCCTGGGGTTCCACAAAGGGGGAGAGTGGCTCAGAGAGGGAAGCGCCTGGCTCAGGGCAGACAGTGGCCACTCCAGACTTTCTGAAAAGGCAGCCTAAGGGGTCCCCGGGCCCTGCCAAGGGTGAGGGTGGGCATTAGAACGGGCAGGTCGGTTTCCCTCCCTGGAGGCGCCCCCCACCTTGGGGTCTGCAGACAAGGCTTCTTTAGTTTCCAGATGCATCATGGACGAGGGCTGGCCGGCCGCACACAGGGACGCATGGCGCCTGGCCGCCGCTCACTCGTCATTGAGCAGTACCCGCCATGGACCACGCACTCAGGGCCCAACAGAGACAGATAGGAGAGACGGGGCCAGCCCGCAGGACCCCCAGATGAGCTGGGGAGATGGGGCACAGACAAGTGGGCCCCATGTGAGCGGGATGATCGGGGGTCCAAGGGTTGGGGCCTCCTGAAGAGTAGAGCAGGGACAGGCCGTTGGGGCCTGGGTCTGGGCCGGGGTCCTTGGGCTTGGCACACCCCTTCTTCCCCACAGGGCTGAGGTGACTACCCAGTGAGTCAGGCCGTGGAGGGATACAGGGTCACACTGCCCTGGGGGAGGGCCTGCCTTGTCGCTCCACTCACAGACCTGCACACGCCGACAAGGCCTCCCTCAGATGATGCGGAGGGGGCAGGGCCTTGCCCAGGGTCACCCGGCCAGCCCGTGGGAACCAGAGCCGGGCCTGCCCTCCTCCCCCAATTCAGTCCCTGGCTGGCCTGGGGCTCTACCCCATGCCCAGGCCTCCCCACTCCTCCCTCCTGTGCGGGAGACTCGCCCTCACACACAGGGCCACAGGCCTAGACACGGGTCTCTCTCACCTGCTTCCCAGGGTTTGGCATGGCCCCACCTGTCTAGATCATCCCCTGGGCCACTAGTGCGGGGCCTCCCTCTCCTGCTGTGCCAGAGCGCAAACCCAGGGAGCAGACACACCGGTTCTCAGGTCTGGCAGCCAACTCCCCTGAGAGAGGCCCCACAGGACCTCTGCCCACATCAGCACCTAGCGCCAGCACTTAGGACTAGCACCTTAAGACCAGCACCTAGAACCAGTACCTAGGACTAGCACCTTGAGACCAGCACCTAGTGCCAGCACCTAGGACGAGCAGAGGTCTGGCATGCACCCTGCTTATCAGTTTCTCGGCTGTGTTCCTTTGTGAAGTAGAGGAAGAGAGCCTGCAGAAGGCCGTGGGCACAAGCCACAGAACCCAGCAACCCTGGGGACCTCGGAGTTCCAAGGGCACAGGCTCTTAGCAGTGTGGGCTTGTAGGGCCTGGAATCCCAGAGCTGAAGAACCCAAAGAACCTGAGAATCATGAATCCAAACCACGTGACATCAGTTAGAATGGCCAAAATCAACAGGACAGGAAACAAGAAGTGTTGGAGAGGTTGTGAAGAAAGGGGAACCCTCTTACACTGTTGGTGAGAATGCAAGTTGGTGCAGCCACTTTGGAAAACAGTGTGGAGGTTCCTTAGGAAATTAAAAATAGAGCTTCTGTATGACCCTGCAATGGCACTACTGGTATTTACCCCAAAGATACAGAAGTAGTGAAAAGAAGGGCCATCTGTACCCCAATGTTTATAGCAGCAATGGCCACAGTCGCCAAACTGTGGAAAGAACCAAGATGCCCGTCAATGGACGAATGGATAAGGAAGATGTGGTCCATATACACTATGGAGTATGATGCCTCCATCAGAAAGGATGAACACCCAACTTTTGTGTCAACATGGACGGGACCAGAGGAGATTATGCTGAGTGAAATAAGTCAAGCAGAGAGAGTCAATTACCATATGGTTTCACTTACTTGTGGAGCATAAGGAATAACACGGAGGACATGGGGAGCTGGAGAGAAGGGAGTTGGGGGAAATCAGAGGGGGAGATGAACCATGAGAGACTGTGGACTCTGAAAAACAGACTGAGGGTTTTGGAGGGGAGGGAGGTGGGGGGATTGGGAGGTGGTGGGTATTAAGGAGGGCACAGATTGCATGGAGCACTGGGTGTGGTGCATAAAGAATGAATCTTGGAACACTGGAAAAATAAAATTAAAAAAAAGAAAAAAGAACCCGAGAATCAGGTATCCTGTAGGGAGTTTATTCTCTCCAAGTGAGGAAAGCTCCCTCTAGGGTTCTAGAAAGACAGAGTGTGTTTATGTTCTATCCCTAGGTTCTCCGCT